GGTGGAGAAGGTGAAGCTGGACCAGAAGCGGCTGGACCAGGAGCTCGACTTCATCCTGTCACAGCAGAAGGAACTGGAGGACCTGCTGAGCCCGCTGGAGGAGTCGGTCAAGGAGCAGAGCGGCACAGTGCACCTGCAGCACGCCGACGAGGAGCGCGAGAAGACCTACAAGTTGGCGGAGAACATCGACGCGCAGCTCAAGCGCATGGCCCAGGACCTCAAGGACATCATCGAGCACTTGAACACGGCGGGGGGCCCGGCCGACACCAGCGACCCACTGCAGCAGATCTGCAAGATCCTCAACGCGCACATGGACTCGCTGCAGTGGATTGACCAGAACTCGGCACTGCTGCAGAGGAAGGTGGAGGAGGTGACCAAGGTGTGCGAAGGCCGGCGCAAGGAGCAGGAGCGCAGCTTCCGCATCACCTTCGACTGAGCCCGCTGCCCGGGGCAGGGGTGGGGTTACTGTCGCGTTGTTGGGGTGCAGGGAAATACGTATGTGTGTGCTTCTGTCTTTCAAACAGTTGTGCTGCTGATAGAACTGTTCTGTGGCTTGACTTTTCATCTTAGTGAGTAGAAAGTATTCTCAGCGCTCTGGTCCAGGCAGCAGCCTCCTCGCAGGTGTGGTTTCTCCACGTCCTAGACCCTCTCCACCTGCTACAACTACCCGCCTCCAGTTGTGCTGGAGGAGGGCTGAGCCGCCAGAGAGCTGCCTGTCTCCCAGCCAGGGCGCCAGGCCTCCACTCTGCCAGACCCAGAGTCAGAGATAAGGGGAGGAGAGCTCCATCCTCACGGAGCCAGCTGCCTGGAGTGAGTGTGAGCGATTCAGAGAAGTGGCTTGTGGATGGAGTGGACAGTGGGACGTAGGATTTCAAAGGAGGAGAGACAGGTCAGAAGAGAAAAGAGGTCTCCCCTTGCCTGGCTGACACACTGCTTCAGCCACCCTGAAGCCAGGTCGGGTGCCGTCCCGCGGCGCCCCCCACGCTGAGCTTGTGATCGCACACCTTTGGTAACACTGGCCACACTAGACTGTGCAGACTACTCACTTCTCCCCTCGCCATCAGGTTGTGTGCCTTGTGGGCCTGTTTCCTGTCCCCCCTGTGTTCTCAGCACAGTCCCTGTCACTGTCACACAGGTGAACAGTAGAGATGAGACAGCATAAAACGCTTGCCCACCGAATGAATGCCTGTGGAAGTGGCCAGGGTGCCAGGGGCAGCCACAGACTTGATTCTGAGCCTCCCAGAGTCAGGGCAAACCTGGTCGGTTCCAGTGAGATCCAGTGTCCAGAAGCCAGCTGTGTCCCAGGTGTCTTTTGTGTTTGTCTTTACATTCTGCTGTACTCTCTGAAATACCTACGGCTATATGTTGCTTTTCTAAATAAAATGTATTGTGGAATTTAAAAGCTGCTGTTTTTGTGGATAACTTAGAAGAAGGTTGGGAAAAGAGTAGGTTCCAGGTCATGCTTGGGGGGGAATGCACTCAGATCTTGCTCGTGGTGCAGGGCGGGAAGTCTGCCCTCCAGCCTCCCTTGGCTCACTCACACTTAAGCTGTGTTTTGGCTCTGGAGTGTCCAGGGCTTGTTCCTGGACATACATGGTCCAGTTTCCCAAAGTCATGACCATGAGTCATTTCCTTGGGCCATCTTGGACTTCTAGAGACCACTGTCTCATCCAAGCAGAAGCCACGGAAGAGGAGGGGAAACAAACCAGAGGCAGGAGACCCCAGCAACCCCAGTTGATTCTCGGAAGGCTCCATCCCCTGCGACAGTGGCCCTCTGCGCAGTCTGGGAGCTGTGACCCCATCCGGTACCCGCATCCCACCCCCTTGAGTCCCCTTAGGAAGTAGTATTCTACCTACATGTATTCATTGAGCATCCATCTTTGGGACACTTGCTATACATCAGGTCCCAGTCTGGCACTGGGGTTTCAGAAATGGAACCACCCGTGAGGTTATCTGCCCACCCGTGAGGTCACCCTGGCAGGGGCCACACAGGCATGATAGGAAAAACGATTCCTTGCGCTTGCATTTCCAATGCGTAGCATAAACCTATTACTTTGCATGTTAAACAAGTGAAGCCTAATTTCTTTCTTGTTTTTTTTAGTTTGTTTTTCAATCAAAGAGAGTTCCCTGGCTGTCCACTGATTAAAAGATTGAAAGACTTCGCCCTTCAATACGGGGGTGTGGGTTCAGTCTGTTGTGGGGAGCTATGATGCCACACACCTTGCATCCCCAAAACCAAAATGTAGAACAGAAGCAACATGGTAACAGAAACTTTAAAACTGCTTCATATCAAAAACTCTTTTTAAAAAGATGGTAGTTATAATATTTTCCTCCCACACCCCAAGGGATCTCACGCACAAGGCTTTTGAAGAACGCAGGTGGTTGTAATAAATTGGTGCGACAGCCATGCAGGAGGGGTGCTTCTGGTACTCGGGCACCATGGGGAGAATGGCCCCCAACGGCTTCCTGGGGGACCAGGGAGCCCCCAAGATTGCAACAGGGCCAGCCGCTGTGACTGGATGCCACCCCGTGATGCTGGCTTCATTGTAACTGTAATTTCCCTTTCCAGGAAGAAAACACAGATGCGTTTCCCTGTCATTGCAGACACATGGCTTCTTAAGTTCCTCTTCATTCATTAACATGAAGAAAGTGGTGACTAAATTTGGAGTCAGAGGCTTTTAAAAAGGTGAATCTTTTTTCTCAGTAAGTGGTTACGGCATTTTTTCTCCCTATTTAGGGAGAAGAGTAGCAACTGGGGGTTTACGGTTATGACTTTTCATCTCCCAAGATGCCCTCAAACAGCTTACAGCCCATCCCCTTCCCCAGGAGAACACCCCTGCCTCCTCTGGCACCACTGGGCATCAAAAAGTCAGTGTTTGAAACATTTCCCGAGGGAGAGCACCCTTGATCTCCAGCAAGAGGTTGAAACAGATGATCCCCAAGCAGTGGTGTGCTGGTCAGTGTTTCAGCAGTTGGTCTTCCAGGGTCAGAGGTAGCATGTGCCCATTTCCACGGTGTGAATTCTCCCACTGTGGATGATTTCAAGCCACCAGCATGAAGTCGAAGAACACGAATTTGGGAAATGGACACACACTGTGTAGATAAAACCAGTTTACCTGGAGAGTATATATGTAATAGTAAAAGGTGGTCAAATACTTAAGGGGTGGATGGGTTTTGAGTTTTACCCTTGTTTTTAATAAGACTCATGGTAAATGTTTTCATCTTTTAATAATGGTTCACAAACCAAAACTGCAAAAAGGTCTGCAAATTAAATGACTCTTGTGAAAAGGTGTGAGCCGGCTCCGGCACACCACCGCTCCTGAGGTTTTCAGTCAACCTCGAAATTGCCTGGGTGCTTTCAAAGTCTGCCCTCCTGGGACTTCCTCAGTGGTCCGGTGGTTAAGACTCTGCTTCTGCTGCAGGAGCCACAGGTTCAGTCCCTGGTCAGGGAAGTTACGCTGCTGCACGGCGCAAGTCTTCCTTCAGACCAGCAGCTCTGCAGAACGTCCCAGGCACGAGTTGCCTCACCCTCACAAGTCAGGTCCGCTCATGGACACCACCCAGACCTAACTGTCCCGAGCTGCCCCTGCACCTGTCTGTCCCACAGCCCTCACCTCAGCCCTGGTGCCTTGGGACTCGTGCCTCACCTGGGCACTGCCCGCACCTCACCGCAGACACCATCCTGGTTCAGCCCCATGACGTCCAGAAATGTCCTTACGCAGAGATCAGATCTGGTGGGCCGCTCTACCAGGCTCAGGCCCCCCTGGGGCCATGGGGTCTCATCACATCCCCCCAACTCTCCCAGTTCTAGGAACACAGACCCAGATCCACTGAGCTGAAAGTGACAATTACTGACAAAGATAGTATCACTCAGATGCAGTGTGGGCTCTTTGAATGTTGATTCAAACCAACTGTGTTGTTCTAAAAAAAAAAAAAGTTTTGAGTCAATTGGGGAAGTATAAGCATTGATTTTATGTCATTTTTAAATGTGATAATGATACTGGAATTTTAGTAAAAATCAAATAGTTCTTATATCTTTCAGAGCAGAGGTTGGCAAACTATGGCCCCACTTCCTGTTTCTGTAAATAAAGTTTTATTGAAACCCAGCCACACCCATTCATTTACATATGACTGCAGGAGGAATGATGGAGTTGAGTAGGTCAGGCAGAGACCACGTGGCCCCCAAAGCTTCAAATGTTTATAGAAAAAGTTTGCCAACCCCTGCCTTACAGAAACACCCTCAAGCATTTACCTCCCAAATAATAGCAATGTTTTAAAGTATTCCAATGGGGGAGGGAGAGAGTGTAAATGAGATAAGATGGACTAGGAGGTGATAAAGGCACCTGGCTTCATCATCCTAGTCTGTCTGTTTTTATTTATATTTGAAATTTTTCATAACAAAAAGCTTTCCAGACAGGAGGGCCTACGCTCCACAGCCTCCCAGCTGATCCGACCCCACACCAGGACCCTGGCATTGCCAGTCTAACAGGGAAAACAGGACAGAGCCAGAGCCAATCACCCCGGTTTCACCCTCGCCCGACGATGACATCCGTCCCGGGCTAAGCAGAAAGGCCATGGGCACTGAGAGAGCCCGCCAGAGCCAGCCATGCAGTGAGTGTCCCCACGGTAGCCCCAGGGTTCTGGAAGCTGGGAAGGAGGGGCGCCCTAGGGGAAGGGGCTCCTGTCTGCCAGTCAGGCCAGAGGTCAGGGGCCTCAGGTGAGTCCATCTGCCCTCCACTCTCCATGCCCCCTGCCCATCCAGGTTGGGACCTCTGACTCCCTCCTGGGGCCCTCGGCATCCCCCGGGTAGGCCCTGGCCTCCTCTGAGACATGGTGGAAGTTTTAATACTGACCATGCAGGGTCTTGGGCTTCTCTGGTGGCTCAGTGGTGAAGAACCCACCTGCCAATGCAGAAGATGCAGGTTCAACCCCTGGGTCGGGAAGATCCCCTGGAGAAGGAAATGACAACCCACTCCAGTATTCTTGCCTGGGAAATCCCGTGGACAGAGGAGCCTGGCAGGCTGTAGTCCATGTGGTCTCAGAGTCGGACACGACTGAGCAACTAGAGAACAACTCGGGGTCTTTAACTGACCCAGAGGAAAGAACATATGTGAGGGTCTAGCCCTGTCCGTCGCCCACTTCTGTGGCCGCCATCACTGTTAGCTATCCTGAGGGGCCAGAGCCAGGTCTCTGGCTGCTCCAGAGGTGAGCTAATCCCGTTAGAACTGTCATTGAGGTTCCAGAAGCAAGTCAAATAAGGTAGGGCTTTCTCCCAAAAGACAGTTTNGAGGTTCCAGAAGCAAGTCAAATAAGGTAGGGCTTTCTCCCAAAAGACAGTTTTTATCTGAGAGGGTTGACATTGTTTTTTAGAAACACCAAAAGCAAAAAAAAAAAAAAGAAACACCAAAAGCACCTCCAAATCAGCTGAAGCAACTGGTGCTGGATTTGGTGGGAAGCCTGGTGTGTCTTTTGTCTCCTGCTCACAAGTTTTGGAAACCCAAGCCAATCCAACCCCCGTTTTCCCGCCCCTAATTCTTACCCCAAAATCAAACCTGACACCAATCTCTCTGATATTATCAGGAGTGACTCTGGGAGGTCCTGTTTCTACCCAAGCAATCCCCCGATGACTCACACTCTTGACCCCAGAGTAACCTCTGCTATCCAGCCTTCCAGCACTTCTCCTGCCAGGTGTTCCTGGGACCATACCTGGCTGCTCTTGGGCGTTTCACCCAGCATCATCCAAACTCCAGCCCAGTGCTTCCCCCCAGCCTGGGAATGCAGACATCGGTGGGGGTTAAGCCTAGACGGGCAAAGTGCTCCTGGCATTCAGAGGCCAGTGGTGGTCCTCTCACATCCTGCAGTGCACGGGAGCACCCCACAAAGATGGTCCCACCGGCTGGCCCGTCCCCAGTCCACAGCCTGAGCTAATAACTAAGTGGTTAGGAACATCGCCTGGACGTGCCCAGACACGCCTGGGGCCCCTTGGCTCTGCTGCCTCCACCCTTTTTGCCTCCTTGTTCTTGCTGCTTCCTTTCCCTGTGGGGCCATCGCTGTGCTGTTTGGCTAGAGCAGAGGGGCCTCTGGGCAGGGCACGGGGACCTGAGATCAGCTGGACTCCCAGCTCTGCTGTTCCCCACGGGGGCCCCCGGTACAAATGCCCACCTCCGCCCCGCCGGGACAAGCCAATTCCCTCCCTCAGAGGGCCTGACCAGGTGCCGCCCCCACTGTCCACGTCACTAAGGGAGCTGGCGGGCTCTGTGATGGGAAGGCCTGCCAGCTCTGGGGCCTTGGGCAGGTCCTGGGGCGCTCCCTGGTCCCCTCTGAGTCTCAGATTCCGCCTCTGTCCAGTGCAAAGCTCTGATCACAGACCTGCTCCAACAGGGGAAAGTCCCTCTTGCCTCCAGTCTCTGCTGACTCGCCCTTGGCTTTCTGTGTCTCCGAGGCTCTATCCAGCTCACTGATTCTGTTTCCTCCTTGGCCACACCTCCCCACTCATCCATTTCAGATGCCTTCTGACTCACTCTGTGCACTCCCCACCCCCCTACCTCCACCAGACCACATCCCTCTTTGATTTACGGTTTGGATTTTCCCATCAGCTGCAAGGACCTGCTGCCCTCTGGCTTTCCTCTTCACCACCACCAACCCCCCCCCCCCCGCCCCCGCCCCTCCTGTGCTCGCTCCTCCAACCCCAAGAAAAGTCCCCACAATTGCCTCTCCATCCCCGACCCCTTCAAAGGACCCGGCTAAAGCCCCAAAGCCAAAGCCGTGAGCCAGGTGGGGGTTCCTTGGAGGCAGGTCAGCCTGTTCTCCCTGCCTGCAGCTCACCTCTCAGGAGAAGAGCACACACAGGCAGCGGTGGTGATGGCCGAAGGCAGGGCAGACAGAAGCACCCGATGCCCTGGCCTGAGTGAGGCGGCACAGCGGTTCCCAGCGCAGGCGCAGGGAGCGCTCCTGGTGCAGGGCTGGCGTTGAGGGGTCCTCACTGAATCCCTCTGGGCCCCCCCATGGCACCAGTCATCGGCATTTCCTAAGAAGCAGCTTTTAGTCCTGACCCCAGGGGGCTGTTCCTGGCCCCGACCTGGGTTCACTGCCTGTTCCCACTGGCGCTGCAGTGGCCCCCACTTGACAGATGCAGGCTTGAGCCACAGAAGGGAAGGCCCTCCCCGAGTCTCCGCTGGCAGCTGCCGGGCTCAGGACCGGGGGCAGGCTGGCCCAGAGCTCTCCCTGCTGCCCACGGGTCCCCCAGCTGTACCCATTTCACTGAGCGGGAAACTGAGGTTCAGAGCGGCCACGTGGGATGGGAGGGGAGCCAGCGAGGACCCTCCAGGGCACCGAGATGGCTGACGCCGAGGAGGACTCAGGACAGGACTCAGCTGTCCCTGGGAGCACGCAGCCCCAAGGCCAGAAATGCACCCGCACCCGCCCCCACCCGAGAAGGAGGCAGAGCAGAGGGCAGGCACAGGGGCCAGCTCAGGGGAACCAGGGCTCAGAGCGGGCTGGGGGCAGCCCCCGCACTCAGCACGGTCGCCTGAGCATGTACTTGCAGCCGCCCAGCTGCCCCTGAACTATTTGGGGCAAGAGGAAGAAAACAGATTGATGTGCTCCCCTCACCCCCACCCGCTCCAGCCTCGACTAGACTCAGCATCTGACCTGCTGCCCAGGAAAGGAGTTTCATTTCCCACAGCTGGGTTTCCCAAAAGGGAGGGGAGGGCGGGGTACCGCTGGGTTTAAGGCCAGCGAGGGAGACGCGGCGGCAGGCAGACCAGCGGAGGGGCCGGAGGAAAGAGGGGTGCGCCTGGGGAGCCCGAGGTGGCGAGGAGGCTGCCGACAGACGGGGCCCCACAGACCCAGACGGGGGACGGGGAGACAGGGCGGACAGCGGAGAAACGGAGGCAGGACAGGAGCCGGCCAGCCCAGGATTAGGGGACGCACACAGCCCTAGGGGCGAGGGCTGAGGTGGGAGCCGGCAGCCCCCAGCGGGTCAGGCTATGGGGACAGAGGCTCCTGTGACAGCGGCCTTGCTTCCCCTCTGACCCAGACACATCTCCAACCCAGACACGAGAGTCATGGACCCCTTGGGTAAGTCAGGAGGGGAGGGGGCAGAACCCGCTTTGCTCCACCACCCCTGTCCGCACACCTGCCGACCTGCCCACTGACCCTGTCCTCCTGCCCCCAGCCTGGCGCCTCCTCGCCCTGGTCCCCGTCTTCCTCAGCCTGGCGGCCTCCCTGGACTGGCAGACGGCCCACATCTATGACCCCTTCGAGAAATGCATGCACGACCCTGACTACGAGCAGCTGCTCAAAGTCGTGACCTTGGGCCTCAATCGGACCTTGAAGCCCCGGAGGGTGGTTGTGGTTGGTGCGGGCGTGGCCGGGTTGGTGGCCGCCAAGGTGCTCAGCGATGCTGGACACAAGGTGAGAAGTAATGCTAGAGGTCTACCTCGAGTCTTTTCTGCTGCAGCTGGGAGTCCCGGGTGGAGGGACCGGGCCACATCCTTCCTGAGGGGAGAGGCTGATGGGGGGAGGGGAGAGGGATCTCTGCTTTCCTCGTGGTCTGGGGGTTGGGGGCCTGGAACCCTCTGCAGTAACGTGAAACCCAGAAGGATGGTGCGTGTCTGCGCTGAGAGACCTTTGACTTCCCCGCCCCGCTCTCATCCTGGAAGGAAGTCCCTGGAAACCTCCACCCAGCTCCTGGGGGGGGATTTGTGTTGGTGGAGAGGGAGGGAGAGTCCAGACAGGGGAAGTGCCCCCTGAAGTCGCACCACTGTCCCCCTCACTGAATCCAAGAATGAGTATGGGCCGGGTCAATGGCTTCAGTCTGCACAAGGAATCTCCCCACTCCCTGAGCAGGGAAGTCCCTCTGAAATCTGCCCAGCAGCCTTCCTGCTGCAGTCTAGAAACCAACCGTCACACTGTACATGTTCACTGTGACTTTCTGTTCTCCCGCCAAGCCCCTCACCTCCCCATAAAAAAGGGTCCTTCTCTGGTCTCCGTCTGTGCTGCTGTGGGGACGGAAGGCGGGGTGCAGGGGGGCTGCCACAGAGTGGAGATGGGGCAGTGGGAAGAGCTGAAGGACTTGCTTGCCACCTCTCCCCAGGTCACCATCCTGGAGGCAGACAATAGGATTGGGGGCCGCATCCTCACCTACCGCGACCGGAAGACAGGCTGGATTGGGGAGCTGGGGGCCATGCGCATGCCCAGCTCGCACAGGTGAGATCGGGCCTGGCAACCAGGCAGGTGCGGGGCCACCCCAGCCACCCCCCCCACCCCCGGCCCAGGCCCGAGCCCAGACTCAGCTGGATGCTCGGCTCCATCACCAACCCGGACCCCAAACTTGCTGCCCTGGTCAAGTCAGGCCTAGACTCCACCCCCAACTCTGTCCTCCCAGCCTCCAGCCCCACCACTGCACCCCTGAAGCACTCAGGCCACCGTGTCCAGCCCTTCCAGACTCCCAGCTCTGTCCTCCCCGACCCTAGTCCTTTCCCCACCCCCAGCTCCCACCCCCATCCAGCCCATTCTGTCGCTATTCCACTTCATCCCCAGTGAAAGTGAGCCCTGAACTCCCACTCCAAACCCAAACCCTCCACCTTCCAGCCTTGTTCTCATTTCAGTCTCTGGTCCCTGGCACCAAAGACCCCCAATCTAGCCCTGCGCCAGGTTCATGCCCATCCCCAAACCCCATATTCAGCTGCCCCACCTACCCCCTACCCTTCTCAAGCCCCGCTGGGGAGAGGGGTCCCCGCCCCCGCCCGACCCTCACGGGCACCTCCACCCCCTCAGGATCCTCCATGAGCTCTGCAAGAGCCTGGGCCTCAACCTGACCAAATTCACCCAGTACGACGAGAACACGTGGACAGAGGTGAACGAGGTGAAGCTGCGTAACTACGTGGTGGAGAAAATGCCCGAGAAGCTAGGCTACAAGCTGAACCCCAAGGAGAAGGGCCGCTCGCCCGAAGAAATCTACCAGATGGCTCTTAACAGGGTAGGCACATCCGCGAGCCCTGCAGCCCTGGTCCCTTGCCCTGTCCTCCTGAGCCACACACCTCCTCCTGAACTGGCTGCCGTTTTCCCGTTCTTTCTGGTCTCCCGTCACTGGCTCTTCCGTCTTTAGGCTCCCCTTAAATACTGCTGATCCCCATCTCCCATCTCCTTCTCAGTGGCCTGGACCACCTCAAGGGTGGGCACTTAGTGGAGGCCTTTTCTGTGCCCTGGCACTGCCCAGTTTAGGGAGTCCAGGAAAACATGAGGGGAAGAGTGAGTGTGAGTGAAGGGACACCTCCTTCGGGGAGCTCCCTGGCCACCTGGGAGAAGCCAGGTGGACAAAGGAGAGGGCTGAAATCAGAGGGGGCAGGAGGCTTCCGGGACAGGAACAGAGCAGTGAACGATGGCCACTCAGG